TTTGTTCACCAATTAAAACACTATTTCCTCCCCATAACACTGCAAAGAACTTCGGCCTATGCTCACAATGATCATCCAACACAAACCCATTAATTTACACTGTCCATTGGCAGTCTCCTTCCTCGAGCCAACCAACAAATTCAAAGTTTCAGTACATTACATTTGATTCAAAACAAGGGAAGAAGACTTACCAAATTTTTCTGATCAAAGGTGTTTAGCTCTGCATGCAGGTCCTTCGCACAAACACTCCCATTTTTCTTTCTTTTGTCTACCATGCTTCTCTTCCAATGGCAAAATTAAGCATTTTCTCTCTTCCTACTCCTTTTTATTTCACACTTGAAAGTTAATCTCGATCGTCCAACTGTTTGGGGCCCAACTCAACCAGATCACCATATCCATGGACAAATTAAAAATTGTGGGAAGACGAAATGACCGGACCTTTAATGCTTGTACCATCAGCCACCACTCACCAAACATCACATCACACCGATCGCTCTTTCTTGACCTGTACCTCTACTGCATTTCATTAGGTTAGGAAATGGATCCTCTCTGAATCCCTTCCTTCTAAGCCTAAGGATCCACTAATCCGCGTCATTGAAATTTGATCCAACAGTTAAAGTTATTATAACTTTTAAAGTGAACCCCTATTTGTAGCTGCTAGATCAAATTTCAATGGCTTGGATTGGTGGATCCCTAGGATTTGGAGGAAAGGATCCGGAAAAGATCCCTTTATAGGCATATGGAGTTGGGGTACTGGCATACTGATCACATCCAGAAATATACAGACCAGTGCACCTCAAGGTAGCACTTTTTTATAATGTGATATGTTAAGAAAGGCCATGTTCTTTTTGGGAAAAACTCTATATCAAGAGGAAATTCTTGGATAACGAGTTGGGGGACTTGTTAACAAATGATAGAATCATTTTTCAATGACCCATTATAAAAACGTAACAGAAACCCATATCCAATAAATAGGTCTGAGCCATATGAAAATCCCAAAAAGACATCCTTAACATGATTAGAAAAGAAATTCGTGCTTGGCACCACATTTAACACATATTGCCATAGATCGAGACCAGCCATAAAAAATGATCCTCGTCGGATCTTCTTTCTGGGGATTCGTGGAATCTTGTAATCATGTCCGTTCATCGTACATCGTGCGGTCCGAAATCATTTTAAATTTTAAATTTTAAATTGAATATAAAGAGTACGATGAACGGACATGATTACAAGATCCCCCTAATGCCCACAAAGTGAATCCAGCAAGAATCCTTGTCCCCCAGCCACCACCTCAAAGCATTACCGACCACTAACCCCTGACAAAGGCTAAGGAATCTAGCCTAATAGATCCTGGTGTTGAGGGGAGAAAAGTGTTTTAAGCACATGAAAGGTTCAGATCAGGGCAGGCAATGACATCACAACACATGGAAAGGCACTGGTTAGAAATTGGCTAACCATTATATAAAATAAGAGGGAAATATAGGAAAGGGGTTCAAGTGTCAAACCTCAAGTAACAGTAGAAATTTCTTAGACCATCCTGGTTCAGATACCGACTGCAAGAAGCCTACATCATATTCCCATTTCCAAATCTCCCTATTGCATATTAAGCTGAATGCTTCTTTTCCTTTCATGTAATATTTGTAACCTCATGCAAATACATAATATTACTACAATGGATGTACCCGATTATGAGTGAACCACTATATATCTCTATATCAATTTCATCACTAACCATTTACTGGATATCAGGCCCAAAATCAAAACCCCTAATATTCACATCTTAAAATCCTAAAAACCACCATTGTCAACCTTATTAGATATTAACATCAACAAATATGAGGGTTACATATTTACTCTCATACTTTTATCATTGTTTTATGATTAGTTATGATTTAGATATAAAACTCACTGCGCAAATTATTATCTTCACTTATGTATTAGTCAAAACAGATATTTCTAACCAAAACCAAATAAAGGTAACTACTACTTGAATAGATTGTTATCATTTTTTATCAGAAAGTAATTACTAACATAATAATATTTCTTTTTGATATTATATTTATAAAAAATAAAAAATCAACGGGTGTGTAACATCCTATATCGCCTAGGGGAGTGGATCCTGTAAGCCTTATATGTATATTCTCATTTCTACCTAACACGAGGCCTTTTGGGAGCTCACTAGTTTCGGGTTCCATCGGAACTCCGAAGTTAAGAGAGTTCGTGTGAGAGCATTCCCAAGATGGGTGACCCACTGGGAAAATCTCGTGTGAGTTCCCAAAAACAAAACCGTGAGGGCGTGGTCAGGGCCCAAAGCAGACAATATCATGCTACAGTGGAGTCAAGCCTGGGATGTGGTGGGGGCCTGGGCTGGGATGTGACAATTTGGTATCAGAGTCAATCCTTGGCCGAATGTGTGCCGACGAGGACGTCGGGCCCCTAAAGGGGGTGGATTGTAACATCCCACATCGCCCAAGGGAGTGGATCCTATAAGCCTTATATGTATATTCTTATCTCTACCTAGCACGAGGCCTTTTGGGAGCTCACTGGCTTCGGGTTCCATCGGAACTTCGAAGTTAAGCGAGTTCGCACGAGAGCATTCCTAGGATGGATGACCCACTGGGAAGTTCTCGTGTGAATTCCCAGAAACAAAATTGTGAGGGTGTGGTCAGGGCCCAAAGCAAACAATATCATGCTACAGTAGAGTTGAGCCCGGGATATGGTAGGGCCCAGGCCAGATGTGACAGGGTGGCTTCGTCACAACTGTCCACCCTTTCAAAGGCCAAGAAGACTCACATAGGCATTTTAGTCTTCCCCCGACCACCATCATGTGATTCACCCCAATGCCAAGAATCGAACCTAAGACATGTCGTGCAAAAGATGGGCCTGAAATTCTTCCCCAACCACTAGGCCACCTCGTAGTGGTTTATAATATTGTACATTAAATAATGGATAATGTTTGTGTCCCCAGTGGGATGACTTACTTTACCTCTACTTATGAATAATGAATCTTTACCATCCAAACATCATAAACAGAATTGTTTATTATTTTCATCAACATCTAAATATCATATCTACAAAAAATTATTTCATTTCGAGATCTTTTAGCTATTCATATGGATTAAACATATGAATGGTTCATCTTGAGGATGTTACTTGTTACCAAAACCGTTTATTAGTATAACATGTATCGATGACCAAAGGATCTCTAAATTGAATGATCTTTTGAAGATATGATATTTAGATGGTGATAAAGGTTTGTTAATCATAAATGAGAGATAAGTAAACCTCTCTGTAGGAAACACAAGCATTATCATTAAATAATTGAATAAATCCCTAATTTGGATGATGGGATTGTACATCATTTCGTTTCATATCCATACTTTTACAAATGAACTAAAATGCACCTGCAAAACAATCAACACATTTGATCAAAGACAATCAATACCTTTGATCAAAGACAATCAATACCTTTGATTAGAGACCTAAGCCTCATGCTCCCACGAGGATAGGGGGAGGAGGTTAGGCCAATGGATCTCCGATGCCTAAGTTAGTTTCTCTGAAAAAAGTCTGTGTTTAGGGTTTTTAGGGGTAGCAAAAGCTGACCGAAATTTGGTAGAGATGGAGGTATATACAGGGGAGTGATCGGCCATAGTGTTAAGATTTTACCCTACACATGATGGCATCCTATTGGCCAAGGTTTACAGAGAGAATATTCTCAAAATATTAAATAGGAAATAATATCTTGAAATAATGTTGTAAATATCTTTGATTGACTTAAATATGGATCACTTACTTGAATGGAGTCAATCTTTAATTGTGAATGTATTAAAGATAGGATTTGATAATTAACCCTTATCTTTAATGTCTTTGGCTTTTCCTTGCCATGGGCAAGTGAGTTGTCTTATTCAACTACTTAGACCTTCAGGGGGCGCTGAGCTATGCGTAGGAATATCTTGGAAGTCTGCCTATTTAACGAGGGAAATATTGTCTTTTTAAAGCAAAAATTCACGTGTCGCCTCTAGAATTTTTGAGATTATTTTAGGCTCCACGGTACTCTTTATCCATTTGGAATCTAAAGTGGTAATGGTTGTCGATTTGTCTCTGTATATAATATTCATAATGTTACAGACTTCTTAGATTTGGATCTTGAGTCTTGAAAAAATACGTAGTTTGAGAAAATTATTGATGCCATAAGGTGTGCTGTAAATCAAAGAATCAAATTTTGATGCAAATTAAATTAAAATAATTTATGAGTAAAACTTGTCCTCACAAACAAACTTGTAAGTGAAGGATACCCAAAAGTTCATGCATACCAATCCTTCATTTTTATTCGATGTGAGATATTTTGAGGCAATGATATGTTTCCCTTTATTCTTATAAGGACACCACTACGACAATCTACACACTAGTACAAAAAATACTTTGGGTGACGTAGGTCCTTCGTCGCGCAAAGTCAAAAAAACGTCGCGCAAAAATTTGCGTGACGAACCTTCGTCGCGCGATAGGCGTCGCGCCACGCCTGTGAAAGAAGGTTTTGCGCGACGAAGAAGTTACATACGTCACGCAAAGTGTCTTTGCGTGACGTAGTAACATGCGTCACGCAAAGTGGGCTGGTGTGACGTAGGTGTGCATCACGCAAAGTGTGTTGGTGTGACGTAACATGCGTCACGCAAAGTGGGTGGCGTGACGTAGGTGTGCGTCACGCAAAGTGGGTTGGCGTGACGTATGATGCGTCACGCAAAGTGGGTTGGCGTGACGTAGGATGAGTCACGCAAAGTCGGTTGGCATCACTCAAAGACACTTTGCGTGACACATACCTACGTCACGCAAACCCACTTTGTGTGACCTATGGAACTTCTTCGTCGCGCAAATTTTTATGTTTTTATTTTTTTTAAATTTTTTTGACAAAAATATTTTTGATTTATTAATATTTTTTTTTAATAAATATTGTAATTATTCTAAACAATAAACAATAAACCAAGAAAAAAATTAATTATAAACCATATATATGAAAATGTGCATACAAGATGTCTAAACAAAAAAAGAAAAAACTACAACAAGTAGTCTTCTAGGTTTGAAAACTACTGGGTATTGGGTAAGTGAGGTGGCTGGGAGGTCGAAGGTGGAGTAAGATCAGGTGCTGGCAGCTGGATTTGGAGACCGGACACCGCTAAGGCCTGTACAATCATACTCATCTGGGCTCTCATCTGTTCGTTCTCAGCTCTCATCTGCTCGTTCTCCGCCTTTATATGCTCGCTTTGGGCCCTCATCTGCTCACTTTGGGCCTTTATCTGCTCGTCCTGGGCTGCAAGCTGACCTTTAAGGGTTGTCACTTCCTCCTTCAGGGCGTTGACCTCTCCTGTGGTCGATTTGGAAGAAGAGGCACCCGTCTCACGAACCCGCGCCTTCCCCATACCCTGAACAACCTTGCCATGACGACGACCGTACTTTTGATCCAGGACCTCAGTCATGATCTGAAAACCTACATCCTCGGGTAAAGTGACGTCCTCCATCGGGGTTTCCGAGGGAAGTTGCGATGTTGCTTCTTGGAGAACAGCATCGCCCTTTTCCACCATAGTAGCCTGTAATAATAAAGAAAAAACGTATAATGGTTAATAACAAAATATAAATAATATTTGAACGATTCATAAATATAAGAATAATAACAATTACATCTACTTACATGAAGCTGCTCAGCGATCTCATTGCCAGGTCGAACGTAAACGTCCTTGAACACGTCGATAATAATCCAATATCAAAAGCTTATAGTTTTCTATATGTCAGTAATAATCCACAATATCTCAATTTTTTTCCAAGCAAAATAAATATCTCAACAAATAAGTGCTTCATTTGGTATTCTTCTTTCTAGTTCCATATCAAAATCTATTTACATCCCTATGTTCTATAAAGAACAATTGATATGAAAAAATTATCTTATTTACATCCATGTAATATAATACACAGTAAAAAATTATCTTATTCATCGCCAAATATTTGATTTTTCGCTGTGGTTTGTTATTTTACCGAATTTGGTTGTTGATATTTCGTATTTTTTATCGTTCATTTGTGTTCTATTGGGGGTTGTATTTTGCTAGAATTTCATAGAATTTGATTTGGTTGCGTAACTGATTGGCTTAAAATTTTGTGAGATTAAATATTTCTTGAATTTGATCATTAGATTTCCCTTTTTTTTTTTTTTTTTTTTGCAAATATCTTGTTTTCTAGGTCCCAACTTTTGACATTGTTGTCCAGTAGTTTACTCTTCTTTGCAGCAAAGAAGTGTTTTTCTTGTACCATGCATAGGATTTTTAGAAATGGATCAAAACTAACATGAGATATAGAACTTCTGTGTTTCACTTACTTATTGATTGGGTTACAATCTCAGCATGAGAAACTCACTCCATGATCTGAAAAACATGGAAGAATTATATAGCTACAATAGACAAACTAACCTACGATTTTAGAAATACAAAGTAGGATAAATTTGCTACATGGAGATCCCACAACAGAACCAACTTACAAATATTCTAAACTCCATCCAAAATTCAAACCGTCTGCAATTCTATACAAAAATATAAACTTGTATGACAATTACTACAATTTGAAGTAAAATTTAACCTATGCAATAGTTGAATCTCAACAATATTAATATTCTCAAGAGAACAAAAAAAAGCACAAAAAAATAAAACCCCATATAAAAAAATCCAAGACTTTGTACAGAACATAGGCTTACCTTTCTTCAAGAACTGCAATTGAAATTGCAGCAGTTGCGTTTGTTGGGTGGTGGGAGTCATTTCGCTATGCAAGAGTTGCTGAAAGTTTACCAAAATTTTAGTAAGATAAAGAACAAAAATAGTAATCACAAAACTCAAATTTAAAGCATAGTTTTGTAGCTCCTAAATTTTTTCTAAAGAATGCAAACACTATTGCCTATCTCAGATGGCTATAACTCATGAATCCAAATCTCATTGAATCAAGCCTATTCTCCTAAACCAAAGATGAAATTGTTTCATGATCTGCAACTAATATGATTTACAACTAATATGATTTGAATTTCTGCACATAAAATATATTACTTTATGTAACACTTGATAAAATTTGGAAGGTCCTTATATAATAAGATTCATGCTTGCTTATGATTTTTTTTTTTTAAATTCCCTTAGCAAGAGGATTAGTAATGGTAAAGCTAAAGTTTGGGGATTCATGTGTGATTTGGCTTTTGATGTTCAAATTACGGAGAATGAATTTGTCGATGTAAGTTGGCAAATATTTGATCGAGTAAAAACTATGTTTAGCCACAAAATACTATCATGTAGTCAGATGGAAGCATTAAGGATTAATTTTCATTAATAGTATTCGATCTATTTGCAGACATTTTGTACGATAATCCTTTTTGGGTGGTTAGTCAGATCAATTAGGGATATATTTAACTAAAATGGTAACACATTTTAACTAAAATGATAATACAATTCAATATCCTTCTCTTTGAATTGGAGATTAAGTAGAAAATATTACCCACAAATCATCCACATATTCATAATTATGCATGAAAAGTAGAAATTCGAAAAGCAAAAACTAAATCACTTACATGGCAGGTCTTCAGCAAGAATAGCATTGCTGCAACCAAAATTGATACCAATAAGCCGTACGAATCTTATTGATTATGAGTACCAATTCTCTAGATTGAGCACTGCGGGGTAAGATCTGCACTTGTGGGTAAAATCAAATTAGGTTCTATTTAATCACAGGTGCACCAGAAAATTATAAAAAATTTCATACCTTTAAGTTTCAACATTTTTACTCTGGAATCCAAGAAAAACCCATATCAGATTCTAAGTGGGTTTATCACAAATAATAATTTAATCAGAAATTAACACTGAAAATAAATCAAAAACACAAAAAAAAATTGGAATTTTCGTACCTCTAAGTTTCTGGGTTTTTACTGTGAATCATATTGAGAACTAAGGGCACAAATTGCTGGAGGAGAAGACGAAGAGGGAGGAAGCACGGGTAGGTGGCGGAGTAGCAGAGTAGCAGCAGAGCAGATGAACCGAGAGGAAGAGGATAAGAGGAAGAGGAAGAGGATAAGAGGTCTGAAAAGAGGTCTACGGAAAGAAAAACCGAGAGGAAAAGAGGATAAGATATATGGTTGCAAAACTTGGAAAATTTGAAAAAAAACGCCTAATTTTCGTTGTGGACCGCCAAAATTATCAATTTGCGTGACGTAGGTATACAATTTGACGTCACGCAAAGTGGTTTTGCGCGACGATTAAAGCGTAGCGCAAGGTTTTTTTTTTTTTAAGTATTAAAAAAATTACCAAAAATGTGACTTTACTCCTTTCAAGTTCAATTTTTATTTCACATAAACACCACAATAATATATTATTCTAAAAAAAACCCATAATAATTTTTTTTACATATATATCATTCAATTTCTTAAGTGTTATAAGTACAAATTAAATAAATTAAAATCTATTTAGTAAATACATATACCATTGCACTTGATGGGAAACACATTGTACGAAACAAGTTTCAACGATCCAACCGTCAAACTTGTTTGTATATGCTTCGAGATCGCATACGCCAAAAATAGGAAAAAAAAACATTTAGCGATCAAGTAACGCGACAAAACTTTTCGACGGTTATAAATGAAAAATAACGATTTAACGGTAGTTTTAACTCCGATTTTGATGATTTTTTACAGCTGCACTCCTTGACCCTATATGAATACAATGAACTAATTCGATCGTCAATTTAAAGTATTTACACAAGTGGATACCACAAAATCTTATGTTATAGTTAATGAAAGTATTAATAAACTCTAAGTGTTAGTAAATCTACCATTTTGATGGGAAACACATTGTACGAAACTAGTTTCAACGATCCAACCGTCAAACTTGTTTGTATATGCTTCAAGATCGCATACGCCAAAAATAGGAAAAAAAAACATTTAGCGATCAAGTAACGCGACAAAACTTTTCGACGGTTATAAATGAAAAATAACGATTTAACGGTAGTTTTAACTCCGATTTTGATGATTTTTTACAGCTGCACTCCTTGACCCTATATGAATACAATGAACTAATTCGATCATCAATTTAAAGTATTTACACAAGTGGATACCACAAAATCTTATGTTATAGTTAATGAAAGTATTAATAAACTTTTAAGTGTTAGTAAATCTACCATTTTGATGGGAAACACATTGTACGAAACTAGTTTCAACGATCCAACCATCAAACTTGTTTGTATATGCTTCGAGATCGCATACGCCAAAAATAGGAAAAAAAAAACATTTAGCGATCAAGTAACGCGACAAAACTTTTCGACGGTTATAAATGAAAAATAACGATTTAACGGTAGTTTTAACTCCGATTTTGATTATTTTTTTACAGCTACACTCCTTGACCCTATATGAATACAATGAACTAATTCGATCGTCAATTTAAAGTATTTACACAAGTGGATACCACAAAATCTTATGTTATAGTTAATGAAAGTATTAATAAACTCTAAGTGTTAGTAAATCTACCATTTTGATGGGAAACACATTGTACGAAACTAGTTTCAACGATCCAACCGTCAAACTTGTTTGTATATGCTTCGAGATCGTATACGCCAAAAATAGGGAAAAAAAAACATTTAGAGATCAAGTAACGCGACAAAACTTTTCGACGGTTATAAATGAAAAATAATGATTTAACGGTAGTTTTAACTCCGATTTTGATGATTTTTTACAGCTACACTCCTTGACCCTATATGAATACAATGAACTAATTCGATCATCAATTTAAAGTATTTATACTCGGGGAAAGTATTAAGAACACCTTGCGTGACGCACATGACGTCACACAAATACAATTTGCGTGACACACGTCTCTTGACATCGCGCAAAGATACTTTGCATGACGTATACCCGACGTCGCGCAAAGATACTTTGCGTGACGCATCCCAGAGGTCGCGCAAAGACACTTGGCGTGACCTATGGAACTTCTTCGTCGCGCAAACACTTTTTTTTTTTTTTTTTGACAAAAATATTTCTGGTTTATGTTTTAATACATATTGTAATTAAATTCTAAAAAATAAATAATAAACCAAGAAAAAGTATTTAATTATAAAGTATATGAATGTACATGCAAAATGTCTGAAAAAAAAAAAAGAAAAAACTCAAACAGCCTTTGCATGACGCATTGGCTCACTCTGGCGTTGCGCAAAGTTATATTTAAAAAAACTCAAAAGGTCGAACCAAAACTCAAAAGAAAACGATAGCCAAGTTGAATTGGTCAACAACAAAGCACTCCTACTTCAACTACTTGGTGACTAAATATGAAAAATGGAAAGTAATTGAATCCTGAAATCCATAAAATCTCCAAAATCCACTAAAAAATTAACGAAAAAAAAACCAAGAATATAATGTCTAATTGAAACACAATTTGTTCAAAGTTCAACCACTTCATATCATATATTAATAAACATGATTAAGGAAATTAAGGAAATTGTAAGGGAGAGAGGGATGGGTCGAAAGTGGGCATTTACCCTCAATTCAACCGTATAGCACAAATTAAGGAAATTTCAAGGGGAAACCAACATTTCTTACAATTTCTTCTATGTAAATATATAAGTTAACCTCGATAAAGTATTCAAATGAAGCCCAAACAAGTCTTCAACAATATATCTACAATCTCACTCCTTTTAATAGGTAAAATTAATAAAGATTACATCAAAATTCAATCTCACAAAACTCCACCATTACCAAAAAAGGGCATAGCAAGTAACCAAAGGTACATATACAAAAATCCCATATGCAATATGAAAAAAATACCTTCAAATTCGTTCTTCAATGATAATTGTATACAAAAATCCTGTACAATATCAAATTAGTAGTTTTAGTTTGAATTCTCAATTCAAGGTTGCATATACAAAATCAAATTGCTTACCGGATACAAATAGATTAAGGAACGGAGAGAATTGGAGAACGTTTAGAACAAAGATGGGGGAGGGAGGTAGCTGCTGCAACTAGTTTGCAGTTTCTACCACCCAAACTGATTAAGTAAAGGAAAGAAAAGTCGTTGACTTTGCGTGACGTATGTGGCGTCGCGCAAAACAGCTTTGCGCGACGCATGTGCACATACGTCACGCAAAGTGCAGTCGCGCAAAGGCCATTTGCGCAACGTTTTGTGTTTAACATCACGCCAACATACTTTCCGCGATGCAGTTAGCTGCGTCGCGCAAGTTTTCGTTGCGCAAACATGTTTTTGTACTAGTGACATGTGCCCTAATTTGCTTCTTGTTTGTAAGTTTTGAGAATTTCAACTAGGAGTACCCCTAGCGTTTCTAGGATTGAGACCTCAAAACATTTTTTTTAATCCAAATAAATTCATTGATCTAGGGTTTAACGTTTTTAGTTTTAGCAAGTGGTAGGTCTTCTTAGTTGATAAGGCCTATTCTATAACACAGTGCATCGTGGGTTCAGACTTTCTCCCTCCTTTTAATATATTTTAGAGTAATAATAAAATAGCTTGTAATAATAATAATAAAATTTAATCTTCACCACTTATTGTAAAACTTCTGTGTACGTTTCCATGCAATTGAGTGTCCTTCCATCCAAATGGTTCTAAGAGTTTTTCTATTTGACTACAAATGTAAGGATGAAACTTGTATTATTTTCAGTAAAGAGAAAAGTACTTATTCTACTAATGTGACATTATTTTACTGTACAAACGTGAAATCTAAAATAAAGACTTTTCTCCTTACTGGGAATGAGGAAAGTACGGTTCATAAATTAATTCATGCAACTCTTGGGGATTGTTTGGTGATCATCTACAATATTATATTTACTAATAATAAAAAAAAAATTCTTTAAACCATATCAAGGGCTTCAACACAATCACTCTCTGTGAATAATTCCATAAGCATTTCTACTGTAGTATATACTTTTATCACTTGTAGTAATAAACATTAGCATCTTCAAGGGATGTAACTATTAGGTAGCAAAGTTAGATTTGTTATGCATTTAAGAAAAATATATGTCTAATGGAGATAGCAACCCAAAGTATATTTACAAGTATTGTTGGGTGAAGAGTTTGAAAATAAAATATGAGCTTGATAAGATAAGATAAAATTAAAATATTAATATTTTTAAGTGAAAAACAAAATTTGACGAGTCTGTTGAAAAAGTGGGTTGGAGTCACAAAATTTTTAAAGTAGCATAATGAAATGAGTTAGTAAATGACACTTTTAAAAACAAAAAAGAATTTGCTTCTATTTCGGAGATGCTGCCTTTTGACCAAAGTCAAATAAGCATCTATATCTAGTCTCCTACAAACTTCCATGCTTTACCTGTTCGCACAAAAACAGTTAATCCAAACAAGAATTAATATTAGGGTTTAGAAGCTTTGATATTACGCTAAGTTGGATTGTTTATTGATAATTCTAAGATCTCTGACTGCATTAGAATATTATATACACGGCCAGCGGGCTGCCGGGTATACCCCTATATATATTTCTTGCAAGTCACTATCAATTCACGCCAAGTCTTTTAGTTTTCTTGTAGTGTGTAGAACACAACACAGAAGAAAATCTCAAGACCACTATATATCTCTATATAGATTCATGGTTAGGGATGTCATTCATAAGGAGCCAACCGGTGTTCCATGGACTAGGGAGCAGGTGTTGAATCTCTTCAATAGTTTTGACAAGGACGGCGATGGCATGCTGTCCAAAGAGGAGGTGAAGGCAGCCTTCAGAAAGCTCGGGTCGCATTGGGGTGGTTTCAGGGCGAGGAGAGCTCTGAGGCATGCAGATGCCAACCGTGACGGGCTCATTTCTGCAGAGGAATGACCTTGCCAACTATGCCCTAAAATGTGGGTATACGCTAAAACAATTATAGTACGTACTGAGTTATTAGTAGTTGCTGGCTTGTAAAGAAGGAAGGAGGCGATCATGTGTTGCCCCTCTTATGTATGTAATACTTATGTAATATAAAAAAATAATAACAAGAAACTTTTTTTTTGCGAACAGTGAAATTCATTGAACAAGATCAAATTCAAGATTTGATTACAATTCATAACTGAACAGAGGAGGGTTTATGCAATAGAAAGATTTGATCTAAATCAATACACCTTGCAC